TTAGATAGAGCGAACTTTACTTGGGATAAAGTTAAACTATCTTTCGACCCGGAACGAAATTAATCAGAAGTAAATAGGAAAAGTTCTAAGATTGACTTCTCGTGCGTGATAGAGGCGACAGGTGATAATGTAACGATGGGCTTGGCTCCCATGGGCAGACCAACGAGTTTGTTTGCTAACTTCTCAGACTGGATTGCACCATCTTACTTTAACAAACGTCAAAAATATGTCAAACCTATACAAAAAGCACCGGTTATCATTAGGTTAGTTATCGTTAGGTTCAACATCATCATCATTTCAGCCATAGGACGTCCACTGCTGAACATAGGCCTCCCCTAATGATTTCCATGTTGATCGATTGGTAGCCGCCTGCGTCCAGCGCTTCCCTGCTACTTTTACGATGTCGTCGGTCCACCTTGTAGGTGGACGTCCCACGCTGCGTTTTCCGGTACGCGGCCTCCATTCCAGAACCTTGCTGCCCCATCGGCCGTCAGATTCGTCAGTTCATCGTTAGGTTAGTTATCATTAAAGTTAGGTGGTGCAACTCAGCTCAAGCCTAGGCGCAGACTACCGACTTTTAGTTGGCCGATAGTTGGACCCGATTCTAATTTGCATGAAGAATCGACCGATACCAAATCGGTGTAATGCACCTTCATGTATATCCATACTGATTAAGAGTAGGCGCACACCGTTGATTTTTCGTCGGCCGATAGTTTAGTCGGGCAGTTGATCAGTATGGGCATGTATGGGAGTGCGCACACTACGCCGATTCGATTTGGCCGATTCTTCATACAATTTAAAATCGGGCACAACTATCGGCCAACTAAAAATCAACAGTGTGCGCGCTTACTAACAGCCCGACCCAACTATCGGCCGACAAAAAGTCTGTGGTCTGAGACTAGACTTAGGCTAGGTTGCACCATCTTACTTTAACTTTGACAAACGTCAAAAATCTGTCAAACTCCATACAAAAACACCAGTTATCGTCATAGTTACGGTCAAAGTTAGGTGGTGCAACCCAGCCTTAAGAATTCTAACTTGACCAAAAGCGAGACTGCAGAAACTAGAACATTTAGTAAATAGAAGCTTATTTGAATTACACGGTTTCAAGTGACTTAGCTTAAGTGGCATGTATAGTGGGGCACTGTCGTCGACCGGGATTTGTGACGTTAGATGCACGACGCATCGTTCTTGCTGAAGATCATTTGGCTTAGAGTTCAGTTGCATTTCTTTATTTTTATGGTCGTAATGCTAGAGCTAAATAAATAAATATCCTTGGACATTTTACACTGCGCTTCTAGTCCCAAACTAAGCAAAGCTTGTACTATGGGTACTAGACAACGGATATAAACATACTTAAATACTTTTTTTTTTAAATACATACATATTATACATAGAAAACACCCAGTCCAATACAAACAAATATGATCATGCACACAAATGTTTGTACTGTGCGGGAATCGAACCCGCAACCTCCGGAATAGTAGTCCGTTTCGAACCACTACACCAAACGGCCGACAACAGCTCTATGATGCTTTGAAGATATTTGATAGCTATAAAACAAATCTTCAGGAAACTTTTACTATAAAATTGCTGAAATGTGTCCACGGACAGACATGAAAAAACAGTGACATATACAGGGATTTTTTTTTTAATAAATAAATACATAGCATTTTCGGAGACCCGCTGGATTAGTAGTTAGTAGGGAGCGTTGCCAGACGTCCCGATTATGGCGGGACGTCCCGATTTTTAGATCAAATTTAAATGTCCCGCGCGGGACAGGCTCGGTCCCGCTTTTCGGAGAGAGACACTTCTTCTTTCTTTATTCAAAAGACGAATTTAACGATACAGTAAATCTGATTTTAAATATAATTTTTTTGTTAAAATACATTTTCTATGGCTACTTTTGCTATCTATTGTCACGTAAACGTAATTTTAAGTCAAATAAAAAGAGAAATATTTGAAAACCTTCTTCTGACGGAAGAATCCCGCTATTTTCACTCAAAAAGTACCAAAGTCCCGACTTGGCGAAAAAAAAAACTGGCAACGCTGTTAGTAGGTGAGTCCACTGAGTCAGTGGTCTCCTGTTCGAATCCTGTAAAAGGCAAATGTTGGTATGATAGCTTCTATTGTAAGTAATATGAGTAGATGCGTATGTCAATACATACTCATAGTTTTATTTGGTCAATTAGCTGTTTAATTTTGGTTATACCCGTAGGTAATTTATCCTACAAGAATCTTGTACAATATCCTGATAAACAGGATCCATTTCCTTACTGATTGCGTAAGAAGAGTTATTGTTTGTTTACAAATTCTACGTATCCTATCTAAATACACTATACTCAACCATCAACTGACACACCTAAGTAAACTTAAATACACTAAGCAAGCAGCAAAGATCCGTGACTCCGGCACAGAATACTAAATTCACATAATATTCATTACACGAACATTTGCTAATTGTGGGATTAAACAAAGCAAATATACTGATATTACAGTACACAAGTAAAGCCACTAATTCCAATCGTTGATAATAATTATCTTCCATAATGCTAATTTGAATTCAGGGCAAAACAAGATGTCGCTTTTTGGGCTAGATTTTATTAATTAGTAACAAAAAAGACGCTGCGTAATAATTTTAGGGATATTTTTAATTAATCTGTGAACAGTACTATCCTAGAGTTTACGGATGCAGATGGATAGAGACTGGTAGAGACAGATCATCCGCTCTAAATATGAGTATAACTACTGACCACGACCCTCAGGCATGAAGGAAGAGATTTTTTTTAATGATCTGTCAAGAGTTGGGTTTACATGCGGATGTATAAAAAACGGTGAAGTCGGATCACCCGCTCTAGATGCCATTAACTCCGAAATTGGCTACATGAGGGACCGAGAACAGAAAGAGAGTTGATAACAATCTCATTTGCACGGTGTACTTAGAGAGAACTTGACCAAAAGTGTCCATTTCTTCTACCGTAGTGTGAATATTTGGTATAGCCACCATATAGAAGTATTATACAGTAAATTGTAGCTTATTATTTCAAGATGAAAAAGAAAGTAAAGTATATGGCATACAAGAATATGCTAAAGTAGGTGTATGGCACACAAGAATATCTTATGCTTAGAATATGAACTCTACAGGACAAATTATTACCTACGTACAAATCTGTCAAGTTAATAAACAAAACATACCTACTTTTAAAAATATTTTCTACGGTAACATGACTTCGTTCTGAAGGCAAGAGCAGGCACTTTGGAAAATTTTATAAGTGCTAAATATGAGGCAAATTAAAAAGAAAACCTTACGGCGAAAATACCAGAGGTTTTTAATATAAGAGATAAATGGAGAGTGGTGAATGCTGAAAATACCTTGAACCTTAGTAATTGGCGCCTGAAATATGAGAGGGTGATGAAAATAATTTGGCTTTTATATGAAACACCTTTCTGAACTTTGACATTGAATATGATATCTAATTTTGGTAGGTCAGTGTCTTCTGTTCTCGAAATAGAAAACCAGTACCATTATATTAATGCTAGGTAAAAAGGAGTAACTTTTTGCCAAAAAAGGAAATCTAATACATATAATATTTCAAGGATGAAACTGCGTGCGTTTTGTTGTCTAGAATAGATTTACAGGAAAAGTCTATCTAAATTACAAGAATAAACTGTCACAATACAAAAATAATGCAGTTAAGTATTATCGTATTCCTAGATAAGAAACATTTTTTTTCTTGATCATCTAATTATGCTATTTAAAATTGGGACATATTATATCCTAGTTTGTTAAAAAAAAAATACGACAGTGTTGCCGATGGCTCTACTTCACCCTTAATATCTTACAAAAAATGTTCATAATTTTCTTAAAATCTTATGATCACTCCCTTCCCAAGGCTGTACAAAATTCTCGAAATTTTTTCGCGAAAATCTCCCAATGGATTTGACCAATGAGAATTCCCATCAAAGGTAGGATATCTCCAAATATACCGAAAATCATCCCCCTTCCCACCACCATCTGACATTACTGAATAATGAATATTAATATACACCCTTTTTCTAGAAGAGGGGGTAGCGATTGAGCATGTAGGTTACTGATGGCAAGCAATTGAGATCATAATTGTTTATAAATAAATTATATAGTCTATACAATCAAATATAGTTATAAAAGTATTTGATTATTATTTATCCGTTATGACTTCGTGTTCAGTGTGTTGCCATTATTGCGTAGGTCCTGTATTTTCAGATATTTAAAGTATTGTTCCGTTAAATTATTGCTCTAATCTCATCACCACCTTTCTTACATCATAAAAAAATAAAGTGTAAGTAATTAATTATTTAAGGTTGTGCGCATTGCCCCAAAGTTTCTTCAGGTGGTAGAATAATTTGGCGGCAAGCAATTCACAAACGGATAGATAACCTTTACTATTTTAATTATGGTTTTCTCGACGTTATAAGATGATACCATTTACCGATGTAAAAAAGGTAAACTTAATAACTAATTAAATTAGCTATGGACAAAGCATCAATCTCTAACTACGAGTAAATGATGGAAAATTTTTCTTGTTTTATGGCTATCATAACAACATTTAACTTATTTAAACCATTAAAAATTAAACTACGTAGCTCAAAAATCATTAACGGAATTTCAACCTCGAAATTGCCTAAAACAATTACTCCAGATTCGCTTAAACACGAACTGCTTGTGATAATATTAATTTTATAATCAAACTAGGCAATTACGCAATAGCGGGAAGAGCTCTTCAAGAAGCTAACGGTCTTTAATAGTTGGATGATAACATTCCGCGTAACTCAGAAATAGGTACAGTCTGTAGATATTTATTAAGATTTAGGGTCCTATTTTATCGGATTACAGCGGTTTTTTTTTAAAATTCAGCCCCTGAAAACATCACTCCATGCAATAATAGTCTAACCTTTATTGTTATCATATTTTTTGTTTTAAAAAGTTCTTTTTTTAAACTTATTTAAAATTCGAAACTTACCGCAAAGTTCGAAATTCACAGCGCAATCAAACAAAACATCCCACAGACAACAGTGCACTTATCACGTGTTCGCACACACTAGCGCCGCGCTCACGCGTCGCGTCCGCCTCGTAGGGGCTGCCGGGGCCGACTGGCGGCAGGCTGCACCGGCCGACGGGATGCATCCGGGGCAGGGCTGCGAGTAACCGGATTTATCCTTGTGGAAGCGGATTTTGATTATCTGATTTGAGAAAAAATCAGGATATGCCTAGGTACTGCGTTTAGAGATCGCAGCGAGAGACACTGCTCTATTTACGCGCTACTTAAAGGTCACTGCTGAAAGGAGGGCAACCTCAGCCTCTTATCTAATTTCACAAAATATTTTGAATTTAATTTTCATATTAAATATCTACTTATTAATGTAATTGTAACTAGCGGCCGCCCGCGACTTCGTTCGCGTGAACCCCGTTTTACCCCCTTAGGGGTGAAGTTTTGATTTTTTAGAGGTTTCCCGGTAATTATTCGAACTTTTATCGCCGTAAAAACCATCCTTGGACTTCAACAAACAATTTAAAAAAAGAATTGGTAAAATTGGTCCAGACGTTGTTGAGTTATGCGCTTACCAACACATTTTGTCTCATACAGAATACGTGGAATCTCAGTGCCTTTATATTGCATTTGATCGAATTTACAGTACCTGACGTACGAGTGTAACATACGAATTTCAAGAAAATCATTTTTCATTAATAATATAGGTACCTACCTACTTCAAGAAAAACTATTTCGTCTTACGTCCTGCTAGCCCTGGGCTTCACCCAGTTATCCTTCCCGATTCTTTACAGTCACGACCTTAATTGCTTATGCATTTCGAATTGGATTTACAGAATTTAAATTGTGCCTTAATCAGTCAATGGCTCACTTCGGGCTTAGTGTAGAGTCGTTAAGAGCTCGACCGGTCACAGAATCGGGGCCGGGTATTAGAAGAAATGTCAGAACTAAATCAGTGTGCTTACCATGAGTTTACGTTAGGTGTGCTCGCTACCGACTGCTTAAAAAAATGACATTAAAATGTATGACATATTGTGCAGCGCCCCTAGCGGCTACCTTCAAGAAATAAAATCTTCATAGATTATTTTGACGTACTCGCTAGCGAGCGCACCTAACGTAAACTCATGGTAAGCACACAGGATATCGTAACTTCACTATAACTTTTTCAACCCCTTTAAAAATCGAATGCAACAATCTGCGAAGTTGCAAAACTTAATTTAACTTATAATAGGGTAGAGTTGTATTCTGTATGTGGCAACTGTACCGTTTTGGTCACTTAGAGTGAAATGAGTATCAAAAATACTCTAATATAAAAAAACATACTTAGTCATAAAAAATAGATTGAAGAGGAAGACTGAAAATTAATATAAATGTTATGAAAGATGGATAACCTATAAAATTATTATTTTAGTTTCATATGCTTTACATAAATAAGTGTGGCCAAAAACGATGCAAAGATGGCAAAAACCGGTACTTAAACTTGATAGGATTTCACTATCATTGGTATAAAAATCGTAGGTATCCCTTTACATGATATCTGTAGTTATACTTACTTAATACTCGAAATATTCTGAATATAAGATACGTGCTCAATAGTAATGACGGATAAAATGGTCATAGCATAGCAGTGCAAACAACAAGCAAAAACATTTTATTGGGGCCATAAAAATAAAATATCGGATGGTTTATCAGGTCTGTGTTTTCCCAAGCAATACATGTAGGCCATTCGCGTCCAACGTCACGTGCGTTTGTATGTATTTTATTAGTTATTTATCTTTCATATTTAGTCTTATTTCTGTATTTATTTGTTTGTTGGCTAATAAGTAAACATTAGTATAAAGTAAATTACATGAAAAGGGAACATTTTATTACTATTTATCTATTTACTGACAAAANAGATGGTGGTCAACAATGTGTTTGCAGGCCATTTGTATTGCAAGCATTTTATCTCCATATTTATCAGTACATTACTAGTACATCAATAGAACTATGAAGACCACAATGAAGACTTAGAACAAAATAGACACAGACATACTGAAGAACATAGAACCAAACACTGAGATGTTTTACCAAACAGTGCAATACAAGAAAGAATTGGCCGTATGGATATATATCCAAAGCCGTAAAACCTCTATGAAAAAAAAAATATTCTAAAACTGATAGTTTAGCTGGAAAAAAATCTTTTCCATCCCAATAGTACGCCGGCTGCGCTCGATTCGGATATAGTGACGTCACGCGGCCCTGCGTACGTTGACTTTTAGCGGCAAAAACGGGCTATGTTTATTACTTCATATCTTCGTAAGTAATGGTCCGATTTGGATAATTCAAAAAGATATATCTTTCTTATGTCTTAAAGATTAACGTAGATACTAATAACGTAGTTTTATTGAATTTTCTACAACAGTACTGATCCTCATTGCTTATGCATTTCGAATTGGATTTACAGAATTTAAATTGTGCCTTAATCAGTCAATGGCTCACTTCGGGCTTAGTGTAGAGTCGTTAAGAGCTCGACCGGTCACAGAATCGGGGCCGGGTATTAGAAGAAATGTCAGAACTAAACCAGGATATCGTAACTTCACTATAACTTTTTCAACCCTTTTAAAAATCGAATGCAACAATCTGCGAAGTTGAAAAACTTAATTTAACTTATAATAGGGTAAAGTAGAGACCCTGTATGTGGCAGCTGCACTCTTTTTGGTAATTTAGGGTGAAATGAGTATCAAAAATACTCTAATATAAATAAAGAGACCCTGTATGTGACAACTGCACCTATTTTGGCCACTTAGGGTGAAATGAGTATCAAAAATACTCTAATATAAATAAAGTTATAGTTAGTCATAAAAAATAGTTAAAGCAGAAGATTATTATAAATTATATGAAAGATGGTTTACCTATAAAAATATTATTTTGATTTCATATACTGTAACATGTTAGAGTGGCCAAAAACGATGCAAAGATGGCAAAAACCGGTACTTTTACCCTATTGATAGGATTTCACTATCAATAGTATAAAAATCGTAGGTATCCCTTTACATAATATCTGTAGTTATACTTACTTATTACTCGAAATATTGTATAGATACGTGCTCAATATACGTGTAATGACGGATAAAATGGTCATAGCATAGCAGTGCAAACAACAAGCAAAAACATTTTATTGGGGCCATAAAAATAAAATATCGGATGGTTTATCAGGTCTGTGCTTCCCAAGCATTACATGTAGGCCATTCGCGTCCAACGTCACGTGCGTTTGTATGTATTTTATTAGTTATTTATCTTTCATATTTAGTCTTATTTCTATATTTATTTGTTTGTTGGCTAAGAGGTAAACATTAGTATAAAGTAAATTACATGAAAAGGGAACATTTTATTACTCTTTATCTATTTACTGACATAANTGACAAAATCTATTTCACAAAAAGAACTTACACGTGTATTTCTGACTCAGTAGAATAAGGATATCTTATATTTTTTGTTATACCTATGTAGTCGTTCGTGCAGCTATTTAGGCTCACGTACAAAGAAGCTAACACTGGCAAAGATCAACGTTAGGTACGTGCCCCTAAGAAACACGTAACTTTCATCCTATTTACTTTATTACTAATCTTACTCGTACAAGACTACTCAAACAGTCCGTTCCAAATAAGCCTAGCTAATACAATTAAAAAGTTATAAACTTAAAAAGCAAAATGGATATTTTGTACTTAACCCTGCCTCTGAACCACCAGACAAATGAAATTCCATTACGATATTAAAGAAAATCCCCAAAGCCGTCAGTGGCTTTATGAAAGAATTTAATAATAAAGACCAGAATATTATTCAATTTTTCCTGAAAACAAAGATGGAGCAGGAAGAAATTCTGTACCCACCTGGGGCCTGGGGGCTAGTCGAATTTATTAGCATTCAAATGATTTATAACTAGCGAGCGGCAGCTGAATATTTTCTGATTCGTCTTAAATTAAATTCTTTCTTTCCTTTGACTGGATTTCATTAAGGGTAACGAAATGCCACGAAGATGAAAAAGATAATCTGGGTGGAGCGGGCGCGGCGCGATCACACGAGCTCGAGCCCGCCAGCTCTCATTTACTTCAATTTGAGGGCCTTTGGAAGATCAAGCAATTTCTTATATCGCGTAATTGGATAACATTCGAGCAGGTAAGAAAACGTTCCGCCGATATTATGCATCGTCAGCTCTAAGGATTTGCTCATTAAAACGAAACAACAAGCGAATCGTTCAAATGGTTTACGTTACGTAGTACAGAAGACGGAACATCAAGTGGAATCAATCAATATGATGTGCCATTTTATAAAATTGTAATAAGTACCAGCAAATTCTGATATGCTGTTAAACTATGCTGAACTACGCTAACCCCTTTATTTGTAAACTACTCGTACCATTCTATATTTCTGGTAAAGGCTCATTTATACGATTACAGAAGAACATTTACGGTTATTACAAACCCGGCTCCAAATGGCATCGTTTATGCTAGTAGGTCGCTTCCGTTGTATTTCGACAATCGCCAAAAATTGTCAAGGTTACTAACACCCATTACTTTTATAACCAACATCGAATGTGTGTAGGAGCTTTAACTTAGTTAATTGTCTGCACGAACAAAGTATTACGAGTAAGTATCTTCTGCTTAATTACAGTTTCATAATCATGTGGTTTCTGGAATGTTGTTTAAATGTTTACAATAAAAGACGTCAATTTAATTGATCTTAGTTCAAGTTATATTTTGTCCACTTTCCCCCTGTTTATCTCATAATGTTAAGCATAGACTGCATGGTGAATACTTAAGTGCAGCCAGAGAGCCTGTTTATGCCCACGAATACAAAGTCACAGTCTAATCTAAAGGAACATCCAGATAGAAATAAGCTCTACAAAATTCACACTAAATTCGTATTCAAATAAAAATTGCGCCCTTTATGCAACTTATCCTAAACCTAATGTCACAATTTTCAGACCTTTTGACAAGCCCCAATCGGAGGATGTAGCTTTGACGCCCGTATTAAAATAGAAGGTAGATGACAAACAACGCTATGTTCACTTTTTAATTTGTTTCACAAGAAATCTCCTCTGGTTTATTCGTGTTTT